CTGACAGCTATGATCAACAAAAACAATTGCCATGGCTTTTATCTTTCACAGCCACCTATGCGTTACAGACTTATTTTGCATTGAAATGAAAATAGGTTGACATGCTGTAATTGCAACATGTGTTATTTGTATGCTGCAAATTTGATTAGGGAGTGATAAAGTTGGTGTTTTCTACTATATATTATCCAAATTTTTATTGTTAATATTTTAAACCTAAAACATTCTGCTACATTTTTATTATTTGTGTTTGATAAGAAAAAAACTAAGATTTTAATAGTTGGGCCAACTGAAGTGGGAAGGGGCTCGTATTTCTACATGATATTTACTGTCATATGATTCTAATATTCCTAATAGACTTAGATATATTTTCTGAAAAAACAGGAAAATGTCAGGTATCGCCATCGATTGAGTTTTGCCATGAGAATTTACAAAGTTTACGGAAGCTTGAGCCACCAGATTGGCGACTACTGGAATAGATGATATAAATCATACATAACCTGAAAACAGAGCGCTGACACGGAATAGTAGAAAACTATGAAAATCATGGGGGCCGCAAAGGCGTCCTACAATTGTAGGATCGACTGACGTTACGGCCCTAGGACCGATACAGATGCCTGACAAGTTTGTCCAGCAGGCACAGCGTATGTCGGCGTCATGTTAATAGGCAAGACAAATGAACGTAATCTGTTCCTGTGCTATGAACAGATGTACATGACGATAGCGCAAATCTCTGACCGCAACACGCTAGATACAAGCGTTTATTAATCGGCCGTAATTATATCAGAACAGTGTGCGGGACTGTTACAAATACCCTACGCCTACTTTGTTGTCGAATTGCGAATATGCACTTTCGTCTAATTTCAGAATAAATGTGATACAGTATGAATATTTATTATGGCATAAACAAAGCGAAATGGTATGCTATTAAAGCAACTGATTAATAGGTTGTTTAAATGAAATATTTTTCGTACGTTCAATGGAATGACAACAATAAAAGCAGGTTAATATCAGTTTGTGCTGCGGATACTTTGCCGGATAGGTATTTGCCTGCCAAAGAGGCCTTAGATTTAACTAGATGATGATTACTATTTTGAACGATCCAGAACCTTTCTAAGCAAACTGCCGAAAAATATAATTTTACTTTACCTAAATTATGTTTCGTTATTTGTACCTGCTTCAGTTTATTTGTATCTTTATTCTTTAATATTTACAGACAGAATTATGTCGGGTTTTCTCAACTTTTATTCTGTTTTTTTCCAGATAATACTCTTCTAGTTTATTTATTTGGCTCATTTTAGATTATATTTCAGTTTATCTGCTTTTGTTTTTCCCATTATTTCTATAACACGCTGTTTTAGTTCAATCACTTATTTTCAGCAAATATTTATTTTCATTATCCTTAAATTATTTAGCCCTTACGTGTATGATTCACATATTAATACATTTCTAATCACAGTCAACTATGAAGTGATTATAAAAGCTCTTGCAAACGATTTTTATGCTCACAAACAATGAACAATAAGTATGGCAACGCCGCTCTGTCATATGTTTCATCCATTCGTTCTTCCTTTGTACTGGTGACCGATATGATCGGTGTTCTGTGGTCTATTCTTCAACGTCACTCATTTTGTGCTGTTATTCCTCAACGCTGCAAAATGATATTTTGGAAAACTGTTTTGTATACCTACGTTAAACATGCAGTAACAATTAGAATCATAATTCTAGCCTACGTTTTGTTATTTCTTTGGTTTGCGTTCCAAAATCGCGCTTTCCTGTTTTGTCTAAACAATAGAATGCGAGAGAAGCTGTCGATAGGAGGAAATTAATTTCATAGAAACAATTGTGACCGGATTACTGCCATATTAGCGAAATAACCATTGACAAAAATGGACAAAGACAGAAAATTCATAAATCTCGCGATATGCTCTGATAAATTTAAGAAAGTATACGAAATAGGGGAATGGTCTATAGATACTATGGATGTTACACAACTTATTGCAAAGTACGATTTTCAATAAAACTTCATGTATTCTTCCATTCTATAAAGAGTGGAGCATCCAGTTTAGGGTAAGGCGGTTTTATTCCTTCCAGAGCAAGTTGAAAAACAAATGTTTATGTAGCTCCGGTATACACCATTATTAAACGCAATGCCTTATTGCAACATTTCTCTTCCTGTGTAAATAATAAAAACAAAAGAAACTCACAAATAAATAATGTCATTTAAATCAGTACTCTGTCAATTTCACTGTGTCGGTTTAACAGTTGAACTATAGTGTGGACCATTTGTTGGTTTGTTTTTAAAGTTGGTATTAAAACTATACTCTTCAATAATATGTAACACTCGATACTTTATTCGGAAGAATACACCTTCCGATTTTATTTATGAAAAACAATTTCGATTAAATGGCTACCGCGGCTGTCCTGACAGTAGTCCATCCTCTTTACCCAATTTTGAAGCACATTTTCGGTAGTTTGTGGGTGTATTTCATCAATAGATTGACGGATATTTTCCTTGAGAAAATCAATTGAGGACCATTACCAGTAACAGCGGTCCTTAACAGTACCCCATGGGCGTCAAACCACATTTGCGGGCTGGCCAAATAACGTTTCTAAAATGGCTGATATTTTAGTGTGTAAAAGATCGCTTTTCCACAGCTGGTGTGGCATCCTGCTGGAACCAGAGATCGTGAAAGTGAATGTCGTCTAATAGTGGCCACAAAAAACTCCCCAACATATCTCTATAGCGTTCCCCGTTTACCGTCATGCTGTTACCATCTTCATCATGTAAAAGTAGGGATCAATGATCCCACCACTCCAAAAGCCACACCAAACAGTTACTCTTTTTGGATTCATTAGTCTTTCTATGACGACATGTGGATTTTCAGAACCCCAAATCCTACAGTTCTGCTTGTTATCGTAACCTCCCAGATGGAAATGGGCTTCGCCGAAAAGAGGATTTGGCGACCAAAATTGACGTCCGTTTCGAATTAAGAGAGAAACTGTATCAAAATTCTGTTTTAACTCTTGCACGAGTTGTACCTTGTAAGGAAATTGTAATCCCAAGTCGTTATGCACTCGCGGACGGAGCTTCATTCCGACCAAATAGTCTTCTCAATTACCACAAAGTTTCTGCAACAAAGCACTCACTGTGAAAACAGTTTTTCAATATTTCCCAACTTTGTTCAAGATTAAAACGATCCGTTGCTCACAGCGGAAGTTTAACACAATATATCTGTCAATATGTTGGGCATGAAAGTGTCATTAACTGTCAAAATATACTAAGTGACATATAAATCCGAACACCCAGTTTGAATGGTTTTATTTTAATAAAAGTTGGTGAATGTATTTATCTTACTGTAAATCTTAAAATGAATATTTCAGCCGCAGTAAAGAATCAACGTTGGCGGATTTTGGTTCTTGACATCCTTTACGATCGGTTACGATGCCTAGAGTACGGAGACCTGTACGATTTCGTCAACTTAGTGAGTTTGATAGGGGCCGTATAGTGGTACTTCGGGAAGCTGGACTTTCTTTTCGGGCAATTGCAGTTAGAGTGCAAAAAGTGTAGACACTGTGGTTAGGTGTTGTCAGGCATGGCTTCGAGAAGGCCGTACGCAAAGAGCAAGGGGCACTGGACGCCGCCGTAGAACAACAGACCGTGAAGATCGCCGCCTAAGATTATTGGCCTTAAGGGACCGTTTCTCCACTACCAGGTCCATTGCAAATGAATGGTTTGCAGAACACGGAAGACCTATTGGCATGCGAAGTGTTTACCGACGAATGAGAAGTTTTGGCTTGTTTTCATACCGGCCACACTGGGTCCTCCCTTTAACTCGAGAACACCGACGTAATCGCCTTGAGTGGTGCAGACAACGGTCACTCTGGGATCAGGAATGGAACAGTGTCTTTAGTGACGAATCTCGATTTTGTTTAGGCATGCACGATGGTCGTGCCAGGGTTAGAAGGCGACGTGGTGAAAGAAGGAATCCACAGTTTTCGGATTTATATGTCACTTAGTATAATACCAACTTAAAAATAGATTCAAATATTTTAGCATGCAAAAATATGCATATATCTAAAAACCAACCTTCAAGTTGTAATCTGTAACATCTCAGCTCATGAATGGTGGAAATATCCCTTTTTCACTTTCTTACTTCTATTTTGATGGTGATATCGTATACGTAGAAGCTAAATAATGTCAAAAAATGTTCCCCAGATACTGAAAAAAGTGTTTGTATTTTCACCTTATAGGCAGAAAACAATAAAACTTAACGAAGATATCACAAAAAATGTTATGTACCCCTGAAAGAGTTTGAAATTAGTGTCAGCATATATGTTTCTGAAACACGTACGTAAATTTTCTTAGTGGGTTCTATATGCGCGAGAGTTAGCTTTGACTTAAATGAGGCAGTAATGAATGTCACCACCAGGAAAAGTCTTATGAATTCTTCTCTACAGGGCTCTCTATACTTCAGGCTTACTATGTACCTAACAACCTCCTCTGTAGAGCTAAAACTCGATACGTATGAGTGGATTAACCTGTGCTAGGATCATTTTACTATGAAAATGTGCGTGGCAACTGGATAACAAGATTTTTTGGTGCAAGGGACAAACGTCCACTTCTCGAAGTAGCTACGTTATTAATTGAGCATTTTTTTTCTTTCAGCGCAATTGAATCATTGAGGAGAGTATGATCACGATGGAGTGTCAGCCAGGGGGTCATGGGGGACACCTGGGACACTCCATGATGCTGGACCCCTCTTCGACAGGACTACACCAACAAGAGCAGGACCATAAGAAGAAACGTAAGTCGTCGTACAGCGAGTGTAAGCAACATTTATTTCTACTTCTAATCTAACTTAAGAATAATCTGTTAAAAAATCTTGTTAATGGCGTCAAGTGTAGTAACTATATACTCCCCATGCAATTCTGGACAAATGGACTAGTACAGAATGAAAATGCGAGGGCGGTCCGTTGTGTTCTTAGCCTAAAAGAGATGAATGAAAATTTTTGAAAAGTGGCGATTTATTTCATTCATCTTATTGTCTCGATGACTACTTAGCACGATTCTGGTTTTTTCTCTCTATTGTTTTTTTTTTATCACGCTATTTCATCCAACATTATGGGTACATAAAATTATTTTTGCATTGTTATTTGGAAATAAAATTTTGTTGTTGAATACTAACTGACATATAAATCCGAACACCCAGTTTAAATGGTTTTATTTTAATAAAATTTTGTATAAGTACTTAATGAAGCATAATAAGTAAATGATAAAAATTTCAAAATGATTGCACTGCTCTAAAGCCCTTTGACCTTTAATAATGTGTGGATGCACCCTGATGTGCTACGCATTCTCCAACGCGCCTAGGCATTCTTCTGATCAGGTGGTCAATGTCCTCCTGTGGTATCTCATTCCAGGAAACCACCAACTTCTCTCGTAGTGCTTCTAGAGTCTGAGGAGGACGTTGCAAATTGAGTAATCTCCTACCCATCATATCCCACACGTGCTCAATTGGGTATAAGTCGGAAGATCTTGGTGGCCATGGTAACAACGTGACATCATTATGTTGAAAGAACAGACTACTCGTACATGACATATTTGCCTAATCTTAATTTGTACCAATCACAATCGCGCAATTTTGAATTACAAATGGCTTCTAGATGCAAAAATTGTAAGACAGCGGAAAACTTGACAGCTGTTGTCAGCAAAAATTACAATACCTTTGATAACAATTAATGATGGTCTCCTAGGACACCAAAAAACGTCGCTGAACCATTTTTCTGGTTTTATTGTCAATACATTTTGTATATTGTTTTCAAACAGTGCTAGTCAGCTTATGTAGTGAAAATACGTGTATCATGTAGCCAAAAAAGTTCGTGCGGTTTTTAGTAGAAAAATATAAATTTTTATTGAGAAACAATAAGACACTATTTATTCGTCGAAGTAATTCAATGACCTTTTGCCAACGTGGATCCAATTTTTGTATGCCGGTACTGCAAAAGTCCCTGGATTTGGAGTCAATAAATTGGCAGACCGCGTTTATTACACCATCTCGAGTTGTGAACTGTCGGTGCCTCATACAATTGTCAAGAGACAAAAAAAGGTGGTAATCACTGGGAGAATTTTTCTTCCGATTGATCAAAGAAGGCTGTTTCTGGATGAGTGCTGCTTGTACTCGTTGAAGCTGCCCACAAACTTATAATGGACAATTCCAGTTGCTGTCCACCACACACACAACAGAACCTTGTTTGGGTGCAAGGAAGCCTTGGGTGTGTGTGGCACCGAATCAGTAGGCGACAACCAATGATACGAACGCTTAGAATTCGAATACAAGATCCATTTTTCGTCGCAGGTTAATAACCGCTTAAGAAATGGTTCATTAGCGTTGCGTGAAATGTTTGCTGAACAAATGGTAAGACGACTTAATTTGTTATAATTTGTCAGTTCATGTGGGACCCATTTGCTCAACTTCCACGTCTTTTCTAGCTGATGAAGATGCAAACGAATAGTTTCAGGACTCACTCTGAACATTTCTGCAAGTTCTTGGCACGTTGTCCTGGAACTTGCGTCCACAGCCTGTCGTAGATCCTCGTTGCTCATGATTTTTGGTCTCCCTGAGCGCGTTCATCGCTCAAACTGAGATCTCCCGAAGAAAATTTTTTGAACCACTTCTGTGCTGTTCGATAACTTTGTACCAAGTTTGTACTCATACAGTAAACAACTTCGAATTCCTGTTTTATTCGTCGCCAATTTTCAGTTATTTAAACTAGGTACATAACAATTTTCAGCAACTTTTTATGTGTATGAGAAAAGAAGGATTCATACTAAAGTGACAACAGGTAACAAACAATCGCTATCGGTCAACAACATCCGTGGCAATGCGCGATATACAACGATATAATAGGTAGTCTTCGACTGTTGCCACCAGCAGTCATGCTTGTTAAAATATCAGTTAGCAACGTGCTTTTTCGATTTTTTCGGAAAAAAATAGATGCCGCTTTGATATTACTTATCAAAAACATAATATATTTTCGAAATTCTCCGCGACTGAATTACGTACTCCCCTTTAGGCGTGGGAACCAAAAACAATCTATCAAAGAATATAATGAAATTAAAAGCCTCTGATCAATATCAAGTGACCGTTGACTATACATAAAAACCAACTGTTTGCCTTATCCATCAGAGAACAAGCGAACAACGCCCCACACACGTGCGTTTTGGATTTTTTCCTCTGGATAAGTGGTACGTTTAGAGTAAGCATAAAAACTGATTGGTTATATGGAATTATCTCTCATGACTCTATAAAGCGCCGCAAATAGCTCGAAATGATAGTCAGCGGATGAAGAAATGTAGATTAGTTGTTATGAAATGACGCGCGGCTTCCTCGGGCATTACATCTATATTAACTTTAATTCTGTAATTTGAGGTGATTACGGATATCGTCAAAACAAAGAAGGTTGCTGTGTCATTCGGCTCAGATCGACTCAGTATGTGCGTTTATAGCTTTAACTTTAACAAACACAAATTAATATCAAGTTGCGTTTGGAAACAAAAGTTTGTTTACTTAGGGCATTAATTTATTCCGAAGTTTTCGCTTTAAGATATCGTACAATTTATTATTTATTTCTTCCTTTTTGTGCTAAGGGATTTACTCGTTTATAATGGATTTTAAATCCAAATTACAACGTAAAGTTTTATCAGGACAAACCAGGGAGACTATAGCAAATGCTATATTCTTTATGCAACAAGAACCAGAAGGAAAGAAACCTCTTAAAGATTTGAAGAAAGTTCAGGAGCGTGTAACCATGGCCACGGAAGTTTGTCTATCGACCATTAGGAGGATTTCTCGTGGAATGAAATCTGTTGAAGAAGGTGCTCCGACATCTTCTTCGACATCAAACAAAAAAAGACGAAGGGCCACTCCGAAATCTGATTTCGACGACTTTGATAGAGGATTGCTTCGTCGATCTATAATGAATTTTTATATAACGGAAAAGAAGGTTCCAACTCTGTGACGCTCACACAGGAAATTTGTTCAAGAACACAATTGCACTGGATCACATGAAACTTTAAGGAAAGTGATGAGAACAATGGGATTTCGTTGGAGGAAGGCAAGAACTAATAGAAGACTTCTTATGGAGAAACCGGAGATTCAGCATCTCAGGAGAAATTTTCTGAGAAGCATGAAAGAATATAGAGGAGCGACAGTACCAGGCCAGTTTCAAAGGAAAAAGATTTATTATTGTGGATGCTGGTAGTGAAAATGGTTTCGTGGAAAATGCACATCTGAAATTTAAATCCAATTGTAAGTCTGGCGAGTTTATCATAGTGAGATGAACTATAGTAACTGTACAAAATGGCTTCAGGTTAAACTGATTCCCAACCACCAATAAGTGTTTTTGTTATAGACAACGCTCCGTACCACAATGTTCAGATAGGATAGGATCACATGGAAGGATAGCTAAGGCAAAAAAATCATAAATTTTACTGACATGTTGAAAATTGATTTGTATAGCCTTATCAAAATGCATGAGCCGGCATATATAATTTATGAAATAGTGAGAATAACGGCTGAAAAAGGTCATTCCGTTTTGAGATTGCCACCATATCACCCCGACTTGAGCCCAATTGAGTTGGTATGGCCATATTTGAAATAATATGTGGCTGATAGAAATGTAGATTTTAATCTCAAGACTATCGATAACTAGTTAGTGTTTACTTAAATTTCTTCATTAAATCTGACAAATATTTTAGGACAATTAGGTTCACTCACTACTTTCTATAAACTAATCTATACAGGGTGGCGCATCGAAAACGAAACAGACGCATTTACTCGCTGCTCAGTTTTTTTTTTTGGAAAAACGCTCAGACCCGTCGATTTTGTTTTCGAGGGGGACACAAGTTTGGCAAGAAATCACGTTAGCACGTGCAACCCCCTAAGCGGGGGTGACACCACCCCCAAAATCTTAAACAGCTGATAGGCCTGGTGATGATAGCTATCAAAATCGTGTACTTTCCAAATTATAGGCTTTAGAGAAAAGTCGAAATATCTACACCGTGATGATCTTTTGTAGGATCTAAAAAATCATCGCAGGGTGTAGATTTTTCCGTTTTTTTTTTGGCCTATAATTTGAAAAGTCCTCGATTTAATTTTTTTATATTTTGCTGATCACTGACCTATCCCCCGTATCCGGTTTAAGGCCCGAGAGCAAAAGGAAGTCTAAACAAGCATATTTGCCTTTGAGGTATTCTGTCGTCGGCGAATCTAACAGAAACAAGGCTGCGTAGAATCAGCTAATCAACGGCAATAAATGTCGGACAGTACGCCATTACGCGTAATTGAAATCCGGCAAAATGTATGAACGCGATTATTTTAATTCGATATTAATTACAGCCAGTCTATTATGCAAGCATTATCTTTATGTGGATGTTGTCGTTGCCTACCATGGGATCATTGCTGTAACTGTCGCATTAGATGAAACTGACAATATAGCTTCACAATCTTCGCTAATAGTGTCCCCCCATGGGCGCGCGCAGGGTCGGGGGCAGGCTTAACCCTAAAATTTGCACATCTAGCATGGTTTTATGTACAATTTTTGGGATTCGTAAGATCTGACACCCAATCCCCCGCTCTTCAAATAGTTTTTTACAAAAATGTATATCTTACTGATGAGCCCCACAGTGTTACCGTTCATCCCCACCACTACAGCCACTAACTGCAAGAATTTTTATCTATAAACGATCAGGAGACGCTGAAAAGAGATTGAGCTTTTTTTGGTTTTTTCCCTTAGCCCGCCGCTACTGGACCGATTTTCAAAAACTAAAACGTCTTTTCATCCTTGGTATACAGGGTGCTGCCTAATGATATGCGAATATTTCACGGTGTGAGAAATTAATGTTAGTTTGCTTTATAAACTAGGGTCCAAAAATGTTTCTTTACAAAAACTCGGGGTGTTGAAGTTTTAGGAAAAAAATGGAAATTAATTAATATTTTCAGAATCGCTTCAGATATTTCGCTGATATTTAGTATGTAGTGAAAGTTAATACAGCTGCATGTTTTTCAATGCAAAAATAATTTTCAGCTTTAACAGTGGCGTGCGTACGGATATTGACTTCGCTATTTATTAAGAAAAAAATGGTACGCCAATGGTTTTTTGCCAAATAAAAATCATTTTTCAATTCCCCATTCAATTATACGAGAGATCATTTGGTTTTGCATTGAAAAATATGCAAATTTATTAACTTTCGCTATGTACGAAATATAAGTGAAATCCCTGAAACGGTTCTGAAAATACCCCGAGTTTTTGGACCGTAGTTTATAAAGCAAACTAACATTATTCTTTCATGGACCTGTAGATTCGTACACCTAAATATTCACATATCATTAAGAAGCACCCTGTACAGCAACTTTGTGCATATATTTCATCAAAATCCAAGTAGTACTTTCCATATTTTAGACATACAGAGGCACGGAAATAATAATAACAATAATAATATTTATTACCCATCAGACAGTACATACAAAGTTTACAAACAAAAAAAAGCCTTAAGAGGATAAAGGGCTACATCAGTTTGCCCCTTAAAGAAACAGCTGCTAGAGCCAAAAAAAAAAACAAACAAATTTAAACGATCCTATAGTAAGAAAAATGGCTATTCAGACAGTGATAATTAATAATGTTTTAAACTTAAGAAATACAGTGGACCTCCGGTAATCAAACAAACATTATGCAGGGTAGTGTCGGACTATCGAACTTGCCGGATTATATATTATATAGCACTGCCTAAGACCCCCGGAATTTTTTACAGTACCTTGTAATCCGACAAATTATATATCCAATGGTAAGATTATATATGTTATGTATGTATATGTATGTACTTTGAAGTACAAATCATACATAATTTATGCATGTCGAATTTAGTAAATTAAATAACAATAGAGAGCTTTTGTTTTTATTATAAAATTAAGCATAAATGCACATACATATGTACCAAAATAATCAAGAATTATTAATCAAAATCATTAATGAATTTATCAAATTATGAAGCTTGGAAATATTCATCAATTTTTTTTTGTTTAAGGTTGTTATAACGTGATATCAGAATTTTGTCTCTCAGTCTTCTCAAAAGTAAAAGTTCATTGTAGGATGTACCATTCTCTTCAGCCCACTGTAAACCTAGCTCAACGGCGTTAATTGCGTCTTGTGCTGTGACTTGTGGAGCAGTTGCAATCACGTCGTCGTTATTTTCCTGATTGTTTGTTGTATTAGAAACCTCTTTTATAATCTCTTCGTCAGACATTTTATGAAAAACATATTCCTCTTGATTCATTTCACGGCACCAGATTTCCCAATCTTCCGGACTTATCTGTGTTTCAGTAGCGACTTGTTCTATAACTTCCGAAGTAACACTGATTTGTGGAACGTTGCTAGGAGTGGTGACTATATCTGGCCATAACTTTTTCCAAGACGATTTAATAATTGATGACGGCAACGCATTCCACGGCTGACAAAGAGCAAAAACCAAGTCTTTCATATTAAATTCTTTTAAAGTTTTTTCTATTGGTTGGTCTTTTGATACTCATCATATTCATCATTTTTTTTTTGTTTAAGGTTGTTATAACGCG